TAGGACCAGTAGTCACAGCAGATGTCATTTGCATAAGGAAATGGTAACTTCTGAGATTTCTGCTCACTAGCATCAGTGATGCATCGGGTACCAAAATATAACATTTTTCTGGGAGCAGAAGTTAGGCCTTAGAAAGCAGAGGAGAGTAGCATGTTAGCTGTAGGTCACCTGTTCCAAATTTTTAAATGTTTTATTGGGGAATATTTTTCCCCCCAAGAAGCAGAATCCTTACTGTTCTGTATATTTTCTGAATACAAAAATTTGTATTCCTTGATACCAGACCAACAGATTGTAGTAGTGATTGTCAGAAACATACTCAATGTTAAAGATTAAACCAACCAATGAATTTTAAATTTGATTCCTCGCCAACAAAAATCATCTTTACATGTAAATTGGTACCTTTCACCAATTACCATAGAGCTTCAAATTTTATATTTTATTTTTCCTTATAATTATCATCGAAAACATAAAAGCAATAATCAATCATCTGCAAGAAAATTAGGAGACCCAAATCAGCCAAAATGGTCTTGAAAAGAACAAAATTTCAGGGCTTACACTTCCTAATTTAAAAACTTACTATACAGCTACAATATTGTGCTTTTTGGGGAGTGGGTACTGGGGATCGAACTTGGGACCTTGCGCTTGTGAGGCAGGCGGCAGAACCACTAAGCTAAATCCCCAGCCCCTATAAAGCTACAATATTAAAACAATGTGGTACTGATATAAAGAGAAACATAAATTACTGGAATAAAATAGTCCAGAAATAAACTCTCTCATGTATGGTCAAATTATTTTCTACACAGATACCAAGATAATTTAAGAAGGAAAAGACAGTTTTTTCCACAAATGGCATGGAGGAAATAGGGTATTCATATCTCCAAAAATAATGTTAGATATTTAACTAGCATTATATATCAAAAATAACTGAAAATGGGTCATAGACCCAAATGTAAGACCTGAAATTATAAGAACTTTAGCATAAAACAAAGGGTCAAAACTGAAGGATATTGGATTTGCCAGTGATTTCTTAGCTAAGACACTAAAAGCTAATCAATAAAAGAAAAATTAGATGAGTTGGACTTCTTCATAACTGAAAATATTCATGCCTCAAAGGACACTAACGAAAGAATGCAAAGGCAACCTAGGAAACAGAAGGAAATATTTGTAAACCATATTATCCGATAAGCAGTTGCTATCCAGACTATAAAGAACTCCTAGAACTCAACAACAGCAACACTTAATTTAAAAAATGGGTAAAGACTTAAATAGACTTGTCTCCAAAAAAGATATATAAATGATCAAGAAGTACACGAAAAGGTGCTTAACATCATTAGTCATTGCAGAAATGTAAATGAAAACCATGAGATGGCTATTCTATTTTTTATATGGGAAATAGAAATGCTGAAGATGTGGAGAATTTAAAACCCTTATGCACTGCTGGTAGGAATGTGCAGTGGTACAGTTGCTATGGAAAACAGTATGGTAACTCTTCAAAAACTAAGCATAGACTTGTCCTATAGTCCAGTAATCCCACTTCTGAGTGTTCCATATGTGCAAAGACGTGAAGGTGACCCTTGCACGCATATTTGTACACTCTCGTTCATCACACCTTCATTCACATGAGCCCAACCCTGGGATGACTCAAGACTCTGGAAGGATGAATGGGCAAGCTATGGTACAAACATTTAAAATGCTGTTCTGTCTTTAAAAAACAGAAATCTTGACCCAGGCTACACTATGGATGAAACGTGAAGACCTTATGTCATCACAAAGGACGAGTTACTCTGCGATTCTACTATGTGGAGTTCCTAGCGTAGTCATATTTGCAACAAGCAAAACTGCAGTTGGCAGCAGCTAGAAGGAAGGGAGATGTAGATTTATTGTTTAATGGGTACAGAATTTCAATTTAGGTAGAGAAAAAGTTCTGGAAACAGATGGCAATGATGCAGTTTGAAATCACTTAATGCTATGGAACTGGGTACTTACATATGGTAAAAGTGCAGAATTTTAATAAAAATATATATTTTAATATACTATACACACACACGCATGTATATCCATGACAAAAATTGGAACAAAACCCAAAAATAATGAGTTGTTCAAAAATTAGGAAGAAGTTAAATGTCCACATATAGGGGAAGAAGAGTGACTGAATGGGGCTGGGGATTTAGCTCAGTGGCACTATGCCTGCCTTGAAAGTGCAAGGTCCTGAGTTCAATCCCTGTTACTGCCAAAAGAAAAAGACTAAATGGGTTATGATTAGTCAGTGGGATGTTTATCTGGCAAGACATTTAATGATGGTGGCAACCTGAAAAATGCTGATATAGTACTAAATTGGGGTAAAATTATATACCATAATTGCAGCTGTAAATAAGTGTGGTTCAGGGAAAAGAACTAAAAGGAATTATCAAAGTGCTATAAAAATTTACATTATGATGGGGAGATTATTTGCTTTGTTTTTATTTGTTTTCTAGTTGTTTTGGGAAGCAGATGTAATCATCTGTATTGAAAAATGAATTCATACTCAAACATGAAAAGATTTAATATGGAAACTTTTTAAATCTTTAAAAAATCAAAATCTTTTAAAATTATTATCCATAAAAGCCAAATACAGGACAGTTTTGAAGCTTTTGCAGAAGTAGTATATAAGTATCATGAAGGTTCCTAGAAAATCCTAGTTCAGTTCTCTGCTTCAAATACCACTCAGGATTCAGGTCACTGAGCAGAGGACGCACAGATGAAGGAAAAAACTCTTCAAGAAATGTCATGCATTTGTCACTGGGCAAAGACAGCTTCCCAAAGGCAGAGATCCCAGGCTTAGAGAGATGCCTATCTAGGCTAAAGCAGGCTCACAGCTTGGCAAATAGGTCAACCTTTAAAAGTGATTCCCAGAATGACATGGTGATTCTAACTGGGTTATTCTTAAAACTTTATTCTCCATCTGCCATCATCCTCTATCTTATTGACACCATCTTATTGTCTCCCACAAGCTCCACCTGGTCTCTCCAGCCCCCTACCGTCCACCCAAAGGAGAATCAAAGCCCCTGCAGCCATGAGAGGGCAAGAAAAGGAAGGCAGCTGGTTCAAAAGATGATGTCTGCTCTTTGAAGAGGCAGGCAGTGGGCAGGGCAAGTGGGCAGCAGGGTAAAAAGCAGAGTTGCAGCCACCCACTGAGAAGCTCTCAGTTTCCTACAGATTCCCAGGACCTCCCTCAGCTCACAGGAGAGGCAGCCTCCCAGTTAAGAATGGGATGAGGGCTCCGTGGAGGGCATAGCTTGATGTGCTAAGGTCACCTGATTTACAAGGCCGCAGCCTCTGCGTTCCTTTCTGGGATGCTGTTGTTAACTGTTGCCTCCTCTAAGAGCCTCATCCGGTCTGTCTTCCAGGGCCATTGTCCATGCAGACATTGCCACAAAATATTCTCATAACCTAGCTCCATTCCATGATGCCCTTGGATTCTGGTTTGAAGGAGCTTTCTAAAGTCTCAGCTGGCTTCTTCTCTTCTACCTCCTGCCTTTCTGGACAACTCTGTTCTCTATCAATCCTAGGTGGTTCGAGATCAGATCTCTCACTGCACAGTGAAATTGCGTCAGACCACAGGTCTCATGGAGTACTGCTTGGAGGTGATTAAGGAAAATGATCCTAGTGGCTTTTTGCAGGTAAATGTTAACCATTTGTGCTTCAGATTCTACATGTCCCATACAATGAGTCTAGGATATCTAGGCAGGACATACAGCCCTGGCCAAGCCTGGTTCAGCAGAACCTATCTTCCCACCTCCCTGGGCGTGTGGGCACCTGCTAAATGAGCTCCTCTGACTTTCTGGAAGTCTACCACCAGGTGCCACAGGATCGAAAAGTGCCTGGGTTTTTTGTTGTTTTTGTTCTTGCGAAAATAATTCCCAGTAAATTCTTCCAAAGAGGAGGTTTCCCCTTGCCTAAGAGTCAGACCCCCTCCATTATTATGAACAATTTTGTCAGCCAAAAATATCTAATATTCAAGTCTCTATCTTCTGGTCACCTCCTCTCGGCCAGTAAGTCAGTGATTTCTCTAATATAGTGAAATTTACTCATGTTCAGCATTAAGTCTTTTAGTGAAATACTACGATACAAGCGAGATGTTATTTAAATTTAAGGCACCTTTCGTTAAAGGGTATGAAGATTCTTCCAATTTGCTTTCTATTAAAATACCAAGAGTGACCAATGGTGACTGAATGTAAGAAGTGAAAGAATTCTCTACCAAAGAACCGAGTGATAATTGCAAAAAGATAGTGTATTTCAAATGTAATAAATCCCATAGGCAGCCTCTCTAGTTCTGAAGTCTTGATATACTACCCACACCTCAAAATAGAAGCTTAGATCTGTTGCTTCTAACAGATTAACACATCAGTAGCATATACCATTCTTTACAGCTTGGGCTCTAAGTGGTTCAGTCATAAATAGCATGGTCACCTATCCAGGTTTGTGTATTAGATCAGTTGACACCTGCCCTCCCTCTGACTCGCCAAAGTGTTCAGACTTGCTTGATAAATCTTGGGTCACCCTAGTCATAATGGGATCCTTCTTACCAACCACACTGAGACCAGAAGCCTGTGGCTCCCAGGGGAAGTTTGATGGCGATACTCCCAGAGAGTCAAGGAACAAGGTTGTTTCAAGTGTGGCAGTGTATTTCTTAGGCTGTGGTCTTTGCCGTGATTAGATTTCTGACGCCCTCATAAGGAGAGTGCACCTGACTGAAGACCAGTGGGGGAAAGGCACGCTCACGCCCAGGATGACCACGGACTTTGACTTGAGTCTGGACAACAGCCCTCTGCTGCAGTCCATTCACCAGCTGGACTTCGTGCAGGTGAAAGGTACGTGCATGTGTCACCCAAGCCGGACAGCCCCACCCCAACGGGATACAGGTGCTTGCAGCAGAGCCAGTGCCCCTCTGGTGAGAGTTACAAAAATCTGGGATGGATCCTACCTTCCCATACTAAGATACTAAGCACATCTCCTTGTACCTGTGCAGGCTCCCACCGAGCAGGGCAGATAAATTCAGATGTTTGACTCTTTGTGAGGCTTAGAGATTTCACGTACTCAGCATCAGAGACCTGACGTAGAAGGAAATGCAGAGAAAGAGAAAATATCACTGCACATGAATAAAACCTTGCCCCAGGAAGGAACACAGAGACAGTGGCAGAAATCAAGGGAGTCCAGGATTGCGATGGCTGCTTCCACCTGCAAACAGAAAGCAAAGGGCGGAGCACGGATCAGAGGGAGCGCACGAAGCGTTCAGCTTGCCGATCACGTCAGCCTGCCAGGATCGGCAGGAAAAGACACGCCTGGAAGCCCAGGAGAAATTTGAAAATTAGTTTATGTAACCGACAAGTAACAGCAAGGTCTCTTGAGATTTAAGGGCAGGGGGCTGAAGGGAAATATAAGTATTTACAATTATGTTAAGGAAAATAAAAACTCAAGTAATGGTACTTTCACGGCAATGTAAGTCATAAGAATATTACTTGGGGAATAATATTTTTGATTTTTTAAAACTTTTGGTTTTGAAACATACACTCGCTGAAATCTGCAAAGGCAGTAAGGAGAGGCCCTCTCTCCTGGTTCCTCTCCGTGTTCCAGCTGGCGTCCCTGCACTGGTACTGAAACCAGGAACCCGACTTCGGTACGGCGCATGTGCACGGTTAATTAGCCAGATACCCTCCCCAGTGCCGTTTTACTTCTATAGCTCCTTGGATTCTCATAACCCTGGCGGTCAGCTGAGAAACCTGGGGCACAGGAAGCCTGGGTCCCTTCAGCCCACACAGCTAGTATGTGACGGGGCAGTGTTCACACCTGGGGACTGTGACTCCTGAACACACACTCCTGCAACTTCCAGTTTATGCTACAAAGCTAGTTCCTCCCTACAAGATTTCTTCAGAGAATAACTGAGCTTACACTTAATAAATCTAATTTTTGTGTTGCAGCAGTTCTTTCTTGCTGTTTAAAATCATTCTTTAACTCCCACATCGTGGCCTATTAGATAAACACATCCCAAACAGAATACAGCACCCTGAATAAACCCCTTCCATCAGCCTCTCTGTCCGCAGTTCTTTCAGGGAGACAAAATCACTGAAAGATTATGTCGCCAGGGGCTTGGGGGAGAAAATATGTCACAAAAGAGCAATATGAAGGCTTTTGATGGAGAAAAAAAAGATCCAGCCCCATTAGCCTTAGTGAGGGCACAGCAGGAGGACGCAGTTAGAGGGTAAAAGCCTTGGGCTTTAATCAGCAAACGGAGCCCTGTCTCTGCTTTCATTATGCTTCTGAGCCTTGTCCACTTGCACACAGTGGAGATCAGGCCATGTGGCAGGATGGTGACAGTTATGTTGGAGTTCCCAGGCCCTTCGTGGTGCGAGAAGGGCAGGTTCACGCACCTGGCGTCACAGACCACATTTCCAAAGCACTGCCACTCAGCCACGTACCGTAGCAGTGCGCACAGAAGACTGGAGGTGGTTGTGTGTGCAGACTGCTCAAGTCTGCGTATGACAGACAGTGCATGTTTTGTAAAGGCCACAGTGCAGATCCCCTCACCACAGCAATTTGCCTGCAATGCAAAATATCCGAAACAATTGTGAGGTTAATAAAACAGGCCATTTGGTATGAGAGTGGATTACTCCATTTTTTTCTACCACTTTTATCTTAATTTAGTTTACTTCTGATTATTATCTCTCTGCCTTATTATTTTGCATGCTTTGCTTTGTGCTCATTAAGCTTAATTAATTCAGTGAGAGCCCAGCACTCTGTAGAAGCTGAATAATTTTTACCTGTCAGATGCTTGTAAAGAAAGGAAAGGTCAAAGGTCATATGGCTAGGACTTGATTGGCTGTAATTAAAGGCCGCTCCTCCTGAGCTTGTAATGTTGCTAAGCACATACACGACTGGTTCTGGTGGAATGTCAGTTTTGCCATTTATTAAAGAAATTCTTAGTTTAATGGAGTACATTTTCACAACTTCTCAGTAAAAATATTTCAAGAAACTGCACCCTAAACTCCACATATGGCCAAAACCTAAGTAACATTTGAAATGGTATTCACGTGATCTGGCCATTGTGAAAGTAACAGTGCATGTAATTCAAAGTGGGCTTTCCAATTGTGCTAAGTGGGTTACCGTAAAGAGTTAGCTGAAATACGCTTAACGGAAACATCTGTTTGCTTTTTGACTTGAAATTTTAACAAGCACGTCTCCTGTTTTGAAATCATCACAGATGCCCACCCCTTTTGTCACTATTGGTACTGAAAAGACAGGTTTGCTGTTGGTTTCTGTATATTTCCACTTGTACCAGCTATTGTTCAACAAGAATACACTGCTTTATTCTCTTAGGACTAAAGATTTAACTGAAATCTGTATCACCCCTGAGCAATTGAGATCTATCTGGAGAACGTTAGTACCATTTTTGTTCAAATACCCCTAAGCTGTAATGATAATGTTCTGGTTGTGTCTTGATTAGAAAGTTACCTTACTTTCTTTCCAGATGACTAGAAATAGTATTTGATCTTTCAATTTTTCTTTTATAGAAAATAATGTATTAAGATCTGTCTCCTGTTTTTATTAGGAAGTAATAAAAAAAATTTCCCCTTAATTCTAAGTCAGTATTGTCAACTCTTCCCCAAGTCATAGGAAACAAGTTTAAGATTTTTTTCTTAATTTGCCAAAGATTCTGCTACTTGGTTAAAAATAGATTTCAAATACCTACTCCATCTCAGAAAAAATTGTCCTAGAATGGTACAAGGACACAGAATATCCCAAGATCCATGGGTCAGGGTGCTGAAATGAAATGTCTTTGTGTTCATTGTAAACTAGGAGGCAACCATGACCTGAAACCCCACCGACCCTTTTTAGCCCATAAACCAAATGGCTATTAATTTCTTTAAGTGCTTCTGCTCCCTAAAGGATGTATTTATTTTCATTGATTCATCTTGACTGTAACAGTCCTGAGTATGCATCAAGGCCATGGCAAGGATAGTGTGATCTGAACAGAAGTCTTAGAGAAGGAGCTGCCGGAGGGTTGGGAACATGGGTGAACATACACACATGTGTACCACCTGTCTAAGTGCAGTAGTTTGCGGACCTGAAACATGTTCTCACAACATACATTCATGTGTATCCTTTACAGTGGGCCAGTGATAGGTTTCCAGAAACAGCCTGTAGTTCCTCTGTAGTCTGAGTGTCATGGAATTATAAGAAAGAAAGGGTCTGAGGTGAACCCTCAGAGGTAACAGTGCTATAAAATGGCCTTCCCAGCCACCGTAGCTCTGGTTGGACTGTTTCATTAATACCTACCAGCAATTATTGGGAACCTTTGTTGTCTACATTGTAGGAAACAGAAAGAAACTTTTGGAACTAGGATGAAGCCTTTCCTTCAGTAGGAGGACACGCTTTATCTAAGCACCACACTGGAGAAGCAGCATGATACAGTGCCACCCACCCAGCCCTGGGAGCCAGGCTACTGGGCTGCAGATCCCAGCCTTGTCCCTTGCTGGGCATGAAACTTCTCTTGAGTTTCAGTTTCCTCATCGACAATACAGAGATAATGACAGTACCTACCTTATGAGGCTGTGAAAATTAAATGGGTTAATACAGGCACACGCATGGAATCACAATACTCTGGGAGGTTGAGATGGGAGAGTCATGAGTTCAAGGCCAGCCTGGGATACATTGTGAGTTTGAGGCCAGTCTGTACTTAGCAACATCTGTCTCAAAAAAAGAAAAAAAATGAGCTAATATTGTAAGCCTCACACTACCCTGTTTGGCATCCTGTGAGTGCTCATAAAGATGTGTGTTCTGTGTGGAGGTGTGAAGCCAGCAGTGCCCTTCCTCCTCCCTTGTCCTCACCACAGTCCTGTTCATTTCACAGAGCTGTTCTGGAGGATTGTGGGTATGTGCAATTTGAAAGATTAGAGGAAAAAGTGAAAAAGAAAGCTGAATAATTCAAAATAGGGCAGCCTTGAAGAGCAGTAAGATATTTGAAAACCTAGGAGCCACTATGGCAAAATTTCAACAAGCCCCAAGCAAGATAAAATATAAAGACAAACAAATGGAGGCACATCATAATCAAATCACATGGCCACTGTCAACAGGAAAATATGTCAGAAATTTATATATACTGAAAATACTCTTGAAAAGTAAAAGCAAAAATATTCACTGTATTACGCCTCATAACTATGAACTGCATCTCCACCAAACCCTTTTCAGAAGTCAGCAAAAATAGCTGCTCCTATAAGTGGAGAATTTTCAGCCTGCATCTTGTTTTTACAGGCTTAAAGAATGCTAAATGCCAGAATGCTGGTCAGCTCAGAAGAAACTAGCTGTCAAGAAAGAAACACGTCCCCACATGAGCATAAAAGTTTGAAGATCAAGCTTCCTATGGTAGCCCAGAGACAGTGGTTTCCATAAAATAAAAAGCTCTCTCTTAGACACCATGCTAGGAGATGTAATGCTACCCAATTCCAAACCATAAAAGACAGATTAATCTGAAGACTCTGAGCTTGTTGCACACCATTTATTTCATACCTAAAGAAAGGAAATAGGGTATCAGAACACCTACTAGAAAAATCTAGCTTTCTAAATGTCAGCCTGAGTTTCTCCTAATAAGGCTGTAATTTTGTCCCATTTGCCTTTTATATAAAACATCATTCGGGGGTAAATAAGGAACAGATAAATAAGGAAAAAGAAAAAAGAATCTTTAACACATAGAGAGAGAGAGAGAGAGAGAGATTTAGGCCCGCGCGAATTTCCCTGCCTAAGTCCTTTCCTGCCTTTGTTTTTGGTTGTTGTTCATTTGCTTATTTGTTTAAATCTGGATCAATATTATAATCTGAAGATGGGAGAGAGGTTAGAGTTTTTTCTATCTTTTTGTTCTGTTAGTGTGTCCACTGAGTACTATACATGAAATTCTGAAGTTTTAATTACCCATGACATCGTATATTCTAATTAATCTTTTAATTATACTTATGTCTAAGAAATTTGAGTTTCTTTCTTTTTTTTTTTTTGGTACCGGGGATCAAACTCAGGTCCTTGCGCTTGCAAGGCAGGCCACCGAACCGCTGAGCTAAATCCC